GGATCTCTGTGAGTTCCAGGCCAGCCTGGTCTCCAGAGCGAGTGCCAGGATAGCCTCCAAAGCCACAGAGAAACCCTGTCTGGAAAAAAAAAGATATGTGTTTCTAAGAAATTATAATGTAACTTTTTATCTGAGTGGCAGAATTTTAACTTATTTTCTTCCACTTGCCTCTATAGATGTTCCAATTTTTCTACAATGCTTATTTATTATAATAATGGGGAAGCATTAAAGGATTAAAGGAATCCAAGCAGTAACACGTGTTATTGCATGCATATAAATGTGCTTATCTATTTATAGCATGCATTCTTAGCATCACCTTTTTATTTATTTTTATTTAAATTAGAAACAAGCCTGCTTCACATGTCAATCCCAGCTCCCTCTCCCTTCCCTCTCCCCCAGCCCCACATCAGTTCCCCCATACCCCCTGCTCCCGAGGGGGGCCTCCATGGGGGATCCCCAAAGTCTGTCATATCATCCAGGGCAGGGCCTAGGCCCTCCCCAATGTGTCCAGGCTGAGAGACCATCCCTCCACATGGAATGGGCTCCCAAAGTCCATTTGTATGCCCGGGATAAATACTGATCTCCTACCCAAGGCCTCCTCACTGACACCCACGTTTAGGGGGTCTGGATCAGTCCCTGTTAGCATTATCATAAATTCCGTATTTCATCTTATAAGACAGAATAGATGTTTTTCCTTTACCCTGTTTTGACCCCTGTGTTAAAAAACTCAATTCTGCAGCCACTAGTAGTGTGACATTCTGGCCTTAAGTCAGTAAGTGAGGACAACATCCCACTTAACAGAAAAGAAGGAGGAAAAAGACCATATTGATAGTGAGTAGCATGAAATACTGCATTTATCCTGCAAGCACCACATCTCCAGGGCTATCCATTACAGGAAGCAGAGGCTACTTTTGTTTCATCAACTTTTCTTTATTCCCCAGAAGTGTGTTATCTGTATATACACAATGATCACTGCTTAAGTAAGCCAGGAAATTGGGGCAGGAAAACATGGTGAATGTTTAAAGACTTGGATCTTATCTAAATAACCATATATCATCAGCAAGCACTCAGAAGCAGAGCTCACCATAGACATGACATCTGTGGTGTACACGTTTACAGCTCTAGAGCTGTGTGGCCTTGAGCAGCCAGTGTATATGAGAAAATGTCCTGAAGTGTCAACTTCCGAGACAGTCCTAGCTACAGTGGGAAGAAAAGGCTTTGTATTTGTGATTGTGATGATCCCCTTAAACATACTTCCATTACACTGGGGACTGGAGAGAAGGCTCAGTGGTTACGATCCTGGCTGCTCTTCCAGAGGACCCAGATTCAAGTTCCAGCACCCACATGGCTTACAATGGTTTATAAGGCTAGTTCCCAGGGTATCCTATGGCCTGTACTGGCCTCTTCAGACACTGCACACATGTGATTCACAGACATATTTGAAGGCAAAACACCCAGATACAGAAAAAAAAACTTTTTTTTAATTTAATCCTCTATTACACAGACCTTGGGAGTGTCCCCAAATCCATTATAAGGAATCAAAAATGCCTTTACCCTATATGTCAATGGCTTATGAAATTCTACTTAAGAGTAAGAGTGAGGAACAAAGATTTCCAAGTGCTTTTGTCTCAACTTGCAGTGTTCGTTATTTTATTTCCTATTGTAGCCTATAAGAAACATATGTGTAATATGAACAAATACATATTTACATATTTTATATTACTAAAAGTTTTATGAAGCAATACATATACGAACTATGGTACATGTTGGCATAATCTATTCTATAACATTATGTTCTAATCTGTTCTTGCTACCTAAAATTCTACCCCAAATCACACTTAAATTATTCTGGCAATCTAGCATGACAAAGATTTCTGGCACCTGCATGAGTTCCTGTGGTGTTAGTAATGGACTACACTGACCCACACAAGTTCCTTGATACCCCACATACAGTTTTTGTTTTGCTTTGCTCCCACTGGGTTCTTGAAAGAGATGAAAAGCTTGAGAAACTATGAGGCATTGTGGAAGTGCTCAGAATCATGAATTTTCAAAATCAAATATGGCTCCCATAGTAACTGAAGTCATATCTAAGGACCTCACTAAAGCTTTTGACTCTTCCTCACTCTGCTTTCTTACATTCTAACAGAGTTGGAGAAGCTCAAAAGAGTTACCATAGGAAGAACTGTTGAAGAGTTCAATATTGAAGAAGGCGTAGTCTCCACTGGTCATGCCATGTCTGTGCACCGCCAACATGATGCTCCGAATAGTGTCACCACTGGCACACATGATAACCACTGGGGAGAGAAACAATGTGTGAGTCACCCAAACACATCAAGCTGATAGCCAGCCCAAACAGACAGGTGACAACAGATGCAGAATGGGCAATTTATATAGTCTTGAATATCTCCTCATAAACTACCCAATTCAGGGTCACCATTTATCCACAGGAGGTACGTTCCCAGACCCCAGAGCATTACCAGAAGTTGGGTAGAAAAACATACCATGTTTTTTTTTCCTAAACATACATACCTATGATAAAAACTTAACTTCTAAGTTAGACACTGTGACAGATTAACACTAGTAACAAATAATAAAACAGAACGATTATAACAATACACTACAACACAGGTAACTTAAAACTTATGAATTGTTTGCTTGCAGAATTTTTCACTCAAAATTTTCAAATCACGAGACAGCAGTGACATTTGACGTAAGGTCTGTAGCTAGCTAGCAGAGTATGTTTTCTTTAAAGCTATTGTTTTTCAAAACTACTACTGCAGTTATTTATATAAACACCCTTGTTCTTAAATGTTTTGAGAAAGCTGGGGCTGTGACTCCAGTATGTGGAGTCCTTGCCTAGAGTACCCACAGCTATGGGTTTGATCCTCAGCTCCACATAAAACTGGGTACAGTGGGGTACACTTGCAGTCTCAACACTGCACTGTGTGGGTCATCCTTGAAATCTGAGGCCACAGTGTGCTAAGTGAGACTTTGTCTCAAAAAAGGAAATGTGTTTAGTGATATAGAAGCATGATCCTGTAAATTATTCTCAAATGTTTCATGACATAATCTTGGTATTGTCTTTGTAATTTCATATGTATGTATGTCTAAATAAACACATATCAATAAAGTTCATATCATAGTGGTTCAAGCCTGTAATCGGAGAACTTTGAAGACAGAGGTAGAAGAATCATGAGTTCAAGGCTACCATGGTCTATATAATGAGACCTTGTCTGAAAAACAAATAGATCTAGATAGACAATGGGTGGATGGGTAGATGGATGTTTTATTGATTCCTAATACATGCCTATGTATGTACATACATACATAGGAAATCAGAAGAGACAGAGGAAAGAAAAAGGAGGTATGTAAGATGTTAAGACAGATTGAACAAAGAATTAACAACTGATGAAATTTGAGTGAAGGCTATATGGCAGGAAGAACTGGGCACGGTGATTTGTGCCTGTAATTACAGTACATGGGAGACTAAGGCAGGAGGATTGCCATGAGTTTCATGGCTACATAGTGAACTCTAGGCCACCTGAGTTGCAGTGTGAGACCCTGCCTCAAAAACAAAGCAAATGAAAAAAGACAGGAGAATGGTGACTGCTCCTCATTCTTAATAACACAGTAAACACATTGTCTGGGGAAAGCAGAGTGGATGGGTTCAGAAAGAACATTCTCCGGCAAATCCACCATGGGTATACACCTTCTTCTATGTTCATTTACAGACACTACTCTGAAGGAGGTCCAACATACAGAGGTAATAGATACTAAGATCTAAGCACACACACACACACACACACACACACACACACACACACACATTCCACAGTCTTTCAGGCTAGAGTGAAGTGGTGACTTGGCCACTGTCCAGTCAATCTGCTAGTTCTTGGCTCACAGTCCCCATGACCAGGAGAGCTGTATTTGCCTTTTACACAGCATTCGAGGAGACCCACAGAAGCCTAGGTGCTGTAAACTGCCTTATCAGGATACACACCAGCCCTCTGAGATGTGTGTGTTCCTTGTAAAAGTATGGGTGCTAAAAGACATAAAACAAACTCTAGGCTGTGCCTGAACAGCCTTGGCATTCTGTGTTGAGGCCTGGGTTCATGCTGATACACCATTCACTATACACATTAGCTCGCAATGTCAGGCTATGACCAACATTTTTTATTACAGAAAGGCTTCATGTACAGGGTAACAGCACTTTAGAAAACATGGTTTTGAGACAATGCAAAACTCCTGAAGCCCATAACAGTGAGAGTAGGTGTTGTTTCCTTTGGAAATATAATTATACATTTGGGATTTTAGGAAAATCCCAAGATGTCTCAATAAAGAAGCTCTCAAAGAAACTCTTAATTACTAACTTGGGCCCTCATTTTTAGATCAAGCCCCTTCAATGGGAAAAATCACAGGCAGGGTATCTCGTAAAACAGCCAACAAGAGGCTAAGGCTGAGCAAGTTCGAAGAGCATGGATTCCAAGAGTGGGCAGCTCCAGAGGGACCCAGGAAGCTCTGATTGGCTGTCTATTAAGGAGCCCTTATCATTATCAACTTGCACCATGTGTTTAGAGTTCAGTGTCTCTTAACAGCCACATGTAGAAATTGACTCTATTGGCACATTGGGCACATAGCCTACATGATGTTTGCAAATAGACTGTCAGAACTATGGGTTGCTTAAGTTCCATGGATGTGAGGGAACAGAATGGCCATTAGTACACTTGTGTCAATATCTCCTATATCTAGGCATGCTAACTGGGGAGCCAAATTATAAGCAGGGGGATTCTACAGAGGAGGACATATGAGTCAGAGAAGCCAGTGGGGTGATTCAAGCATCCAAAGGCACCAGGTTTTGATGCTAAGCATCCATTTGAGAGCCATACCTTCCCTAGAACAGACTGTACCCTGAAGGCAAAGGACTAGCATCCCAAAGTCCTGGACCACCTGGCTTTCATGGTGCATCTGTATTTTATGCTCCTGCTCTGCCTCTTTATCTTCACTCTCCCTCTATTGCTGCCACTGCTTCTGATAAATTTTTCCCATGTGTGGCTGAGCAAGAGTGTCAGAGAGTAACATTCGTCTACCTGCTTAGGCTTTGGTTCTTTTCAGTCTTGCCTATTTTGTGTCAAGTATATGTGGTTTACTCCCAAAAGGAAATCCTCTTATCCAAGGTCGGGGTGCAAGGCATTGTTTCTCTCAGATGATATAAACCCATAGCACACATCGTCATCTAGTTTCAGCTCAAGTAGAAGCAAAAATTTAACACCACCAACAAAGCCCCCAGAATAAAGAAGCTGGCATTTTATGGTGTCCTCCATCTTTTAGGGCTGTCTCATTCATGCTTAACTCAACTGTGGCTACTTTTAGCAGACTTTCTTTTATACCGTTTATCAAAGGCTTGAAATGTTTTCCCTGAGATAGTTTTCTTTTCTCACTCACATTCCATTGTTTTATACAGTAACCAAATTACATAGTTAATAAGCACAAGTGGCATAAGCAGGTTCAGTACAAGTCTTAAGAAAAATGTGGGGGCTGGAGAGATGGCTCAGAGGTTAAGAGGTTAAGACTGCTTTACAAGAGGTCCTAAGTTAAATTCCCAGCAACCACATAATGTCTCACAACTATCTGTAATGAGATCTGGTGCCCTCTTCTGGCCTGCAGGCATACATATAAATAAACAAATCTTTAAAAAAAGAAATGTGGGTGAGCTCTCAGCTTGCTCCTTCCACTATATGCCTGCTTCCTGCTGCCATGCTTCCCTGCCATTTGGAGCTCTCTGGAGCTGTGAGCTCAAAGTAAACTCTTTCTTTTCTAAAAAAAAAAAAAAAGAAGAAGAAGAAAATAGAAAAATGTGGAAATGTATAGAAGTGTGTGTCACACTCAGGAAAACATACCAGCTCTCTGGACCTCCCAACAATAGGTAAGATTTACAGAGGAACAGGGTCTGCCAATCCTCCTGCACAAGTGGGTATCAAGGCAGACAGCTTTTCTTGTTTCAATGTATATCTCAATACATAAATATTAATTGATCTTTTTGTTTGTTTTAGGTAGGGTCTTTCTGTGTGACCCTGTCCTGTCCTAGAACTCACCATATAGAACATGCTGGCCTCAAAATCACAGAAATCTACCTGCCTCTGACTTCCAAGTGCTGGGATTAAAGGCACGTGCCACCAAGCCAGGCTTTAATTCATAAATATTTATTTGAGATCAAAATATTAAAGTTAAGAAAGAAAGGCTAATGACATGATGCTAAGTGCTTCTTAGTAGCCTTTTTTTTTAACCTACCCCCACTTTAACTTGTGATATTAGATGTCATCCTTTCCCTTCTGGATGCCACACTGTCCCCCATAAATGGTTGCTCATTACTGCAGCCTGTTCTTGTAATCAAAGAGGTTAGTGCACAGGAGTGGCTTCAAATGTTAATTAAGAAAGATAAACACATTCCAAATGGTACCCACACATGCATTAGGGGAATCTCCTTTCCCCAGCCTTGGGTTTCCATTCAGACAACTGCAATGGGTTAGCATCTCCTGCCTCTCAAGGGGCTTTCATTTGTCCTCTCACTAGTCCCAGCAAGAGGGAAAGTAGTGAGTTTCCTTACTGGTCAGTCTGAAATACCAGTCAAGGCTTGGGCTCTTTCTTCTTCTTTGAGATACCTCCACATGCACAGAACACACTTTGTAGGCTACCGTTGACAAGTGGACTTTCAGGTAAGTACACTTTCTGTGGTTTGTGGCTGTTCCTAACTACAGCTGATGGTGAGAGAACCCTTTGACAGCATTTTTAAATGCATGCTCTCCAACTAGTTTAAAGGAACAATAAAAAGAGCATTTCCCACATTCTCCACCTGACTTTTTTTTTTTTTGGTTTGTTTTTTGTTTTGGTTTGGTTAGGTTTTTCAAGAAAGGGTTTCTCTGTGTAGCTTTGGAGCTCCTGGAACTCACAGAGATCCACCCGAGTCTGCCTCCAAAGTGCTGGGATTAAAAGCGTGCACTACCACCTCCCAGCTCTCCACCTGACTCTTATGCTCATGTGCCAAGTAGACCTATACTTAGACACGGAAGAAAGAAGCTATTGCATGGAGTATGCCATATGCTGCATACTGAAAATGTGATCATAGAAATAAGAAAATGCAATAGTAGGGGCTGGAGAGTTGGTTAAGAGCACTTATTGTTGCAAAGTACCCAGGCGTGATTCCCAGCACCCACATGGAGGCTCATCACCTCCTCCAGCACCAAGGCACACATGTGATGTACAACATACATGCAGGCAAAACATTCATGTACATGAAATAATAAAAATAAATCTAAAAATATTTAAATGTGATAGTAATTTTGAAGAGCAGCCAAAAGAAATCCCCGCCCAAAAAAAGACATTTTTTTTTTTTGTTAAGTGGGCAAAAAGTAGGAGACAAGAAACATAGAGAATCAGTCAAATGGTCTATCATCGAGTTAAAAATACATAGTAAAAATGAAGGGAATAAAATAATCAAAGAAATAATTTAAGAAATTTTCTTAGAATTAAAAGACATGAGTTTCTGGGGGAAGGGGCCTACCAAGACACAAGGCAAAATACTGACAGCAATATTCATGGTGGTGAAGTGCTAGAGAGAACAAAAAGAAAATTCCCAAGTTTTGGGGGTGGGGTAGGAATTATAAACACTAAATCCAGAATCTAAATCAATTCAAACTAACATTGACTTGAGAATCTAGAAGACAATGGAGTCATGCTATCAAATTTTGAGGAAAATCACATATAGCATGGGATTCTGTGCAGAATTTTACAGTTTTGTATAAGGACAAAAGGAGTAAATTTTCAGTTATGAAACATTTCAAAGTGTATCTGTAATCCACCCTTTGTAAAGCTCCTGGAGGATGTGGTCCACCAAAACAAGAGCATCAGTCAGGAAAGGGATGCACACAGGGAACAGGCTCAAAATTATAGGTGATGGAAGTCTTTGGAAAACACTAAGTAAAAAACTCAGGATGATAATAATACAGAATGCCAGGAAAATGACTAAGCTGAAACAACTCAGGAGTTGTTTACAGAGAATTTACAGATGATTTTAGCCATCAGTCCATAAGTGACTACACAAACAAAAGGCTTTCTTTTTAATAACCCCAACTGGATCAACTGTGAGCAGCATTTAGAAGATAATATGAATAAATACCAATGCTGTCTACAGAGCTAAGCAAAAAAATGCTGACGTGACCATATGAGAGGAATGAATATGAGAGGAAACACTTGTATATGTAGTTAGCAGATAGCAAATATTAGTGGAGAACTCAGCCACTTTCCACTGGCATTCCAACAGCTAAAACCTAAAACTGAAAGAAAAAAATCAAATGTAGCAATATTAGTTGGAGCTCTAACGGCAAATTGCTATGGAACATTGACAGCAGTCAGAAAAGATGCCTCTGGTAAGTCCAAAACAGGGAGTAAGTGGCCAGAGACTTTTTCAAGATAAGACATGTCATTCTCTGGATTTACATAGATATATACCTAACATGGATAAAAACAAAAATCGAATTTCTTTCTAAAGCAGGTTTTTCTGTTTCTACACTACAGAGCAAGGGATGTGGTGTAGATCATTTCTAGTTCTGCATCTTAGGAACACATAAACAAAACAACTATGATCTTTCACTGCTTGAAAAATGTATTTCTCTCTGTCTTTTTATAGTAAATGTATCATTTCAACTGACATATCAAGGTCAGTAGTCAGCTATACAAATGAATCCTGTAATAAGTAAAAAAGCATTTGTCTGTTGTTTGTTTGTTTGTACTGTGGGACAGCAAGGCACATTCTATAGCCCATGCTGACCTTGAACTCACAATTCTTTTGATTCAGTTTCCTGAATGCGAGGATTACTGACTTGTACCACCACACCCATCAAAGATCTCCTGGTGGGATGAGTGGGGGGGTTGTGTTTCTGCCACAGACAAATGTCTGCCACCAGACATCTATTTGCTAAAGTGTTTTTAGAATAGCCTTAGTACCTGAAACAGACAAATCCTGAGTGTAAATGGCTAGCAAGACTTAGCCACCTGCCTAAGGTGTCATCACGTCCAATTTCTGTTGGATTTCTGGGAAAAAAAAAAATAATAGCGTCTCCTTTACATGCAAATTTTTTCTGGAATTAAACACAGAAACTTTATGAAAAGACTTGGATATTCTGATTTTACCATCTAAGTGTTCTCTACCACCACCACCCCATGTATATAAAAAATAGGTCGCTATCTTGTGATAAACACCATAGCCAAACAGCCCCTAGAGAAATCTCATCTACTTTTCCCTAGTTCTCAAGGCTGTCTGAAGCTAGGCTTGGTAAACTCTCTATTGCCCTCATGTCTGGGAGTTGAGATTGACTGTGTCATCACTTTAGCCACTAATATAAATGCATGCTGTAAGATCACCGGTCTGTTTTTTTTTTTTTCTAAATCACACATGCTCAGGCATATGTATTTTAATTACATTAGACTTTTTAAAGTTTTCAACTATTGACTTAGATGATAAACCCTAGAAGATAAGAATTATTTGGATTGGGGGGTATGTTTGGTTGGTTGGTTTTTAGGTTTCCTTTCTAAAGGGCATCATGTAACCACAAGAAAATTTAATAATATTATTACTGGGGTGGCCACAGGTCACTTTTTGCCAGTAAAGATATCCAGATATCCACAATTTGATTTCAAAGTTGAAATTTTTTTTCAAAAAAAAATTTCAAAAGAGGAGGTGGGAAGGGCTCATAAGGATAGAAGATGCACTGTGGTGGAATGCAGGTACATTTTTACATTTGGAGAAATACAATCCAGACCCCAGATCATCAATTGGAACAACCTGGATTCTCACCCAGCTCTCTGTTCCACAGAAGAAACACGTTCCAGATTCAGTGCCTTGCAAGGCAGAGAAGCTGCATCCTGGGGTGTGTGCTTCTCAACCTAGAGTGCTTCCCAGGACATGGCTTCCCTGTCTAGGTGATTATTATCATATATAAAACAACACCCACTACAATGAAGCCACAAGTTTACTGCATGGATCTGGCATGGTTTCAGGGCATTCTGGTGGCTTTGCTCGTTAAACTCTGCCAGCATCCCCAAGATGTGGCTGTTGCAGAAGCCGGCTTTACCTGCCTGAAGAGCATGGGGTACAGTTTAACAGCCCAGGATCCTGCCAGCTAGCATGTGGCTGAGCCACAAACTCCACTGAAAGCATACACTAAACCCCGTGACGCCCCCTCCCCGAAGTAAAGGTTCAAATCTACAGGAAACACCCTGAGAACTTACACTTTCTCTACAAAGAGTAGGAAATTAAAAGGAGGTCAGCCTGGAAAAGAAACTATTTTTATTTGTATTTTGGAAAATCTGCCATATCACTCACTGTTAGAGACAGATTTTAGAGAAAGAATAGTACGATTATAACCTTATCACCTATAAGATACACACACCTGTCTAGCAAACATTCACCATTAAAATGGACGGTAAATAAAAGCAAAGAGATCTGGGTATACCTCCAAACGTGGTGTATTTAAAAATAATAGCATGGGCCGCATGCAAGCTGGAGTCCTTTTAAACCAGGCCGCACCAGTCCCTGGGCCCTCTACCACACTCTGACCCTCCCAGCACCAGGGCTCCGGAGCACAGTGCACAGGGCCACACAGCAGGACAGACAGATCTGCCAGGCCTCTCATCCCAGGCCACTGTGCCAAGGTCAATGTCTCACTGGGTTCAACAAGGCAATGATAAGGCTTGCAAACCTCTGATCTAGCCAGGAGGGGTCACACCCCATCTCCAGCCTGTCCTAGGAAGTCTACAGGTTTTAGCTCCATCTTGGGGAGCCCAGAGCTGAAGGAGTTACCAGGACCACAAGAGGCTGCAGTAGCCTGATGACTGAGAGTGGGAGAAAAGTAGATGTGGGTTTCTCACCCAGCAGGGGCAATCTGCCACATAGGGCAGAACTTTCCTTTCACTTAACCAGTGCCCTGCTTCAGCACCTAACAATGATTCTGCACAGACAGCCTGGAGTTCTTATGGTCAGACTTGTCCTGTCCACACCGTCTACAACACCTCTTGGCTCTACAGGGCATGCTCTTTCAGTTCAGAGTGGCCAAGTTGGAGAGAGAGGCCGCGGTGATACCACTCTGGAAGCTTGCTCTGCCCACCTCACCTGTTCTGCATCTCCATGCTTCATGCTACTCTGGCCCGAAACAGGCAGGCCCCAGACGTTCAAGTTGAAGACAAGTCGGGTGCCTAGCTGGCTCCGGTCTCCCTAGGTCTCAACCGAACAGCACCCCGGGGCGTCGGAAGCTTTGCAAGGAGGGGGGAAAGGGGGAATACCACGGACATTCTGGGCGCCTGCGCACCAAGGGAAAGCAGAGGCGGGATTCCCGGAATGTTGTGAACCCCAGTCGGGACACCCCGACTCCTTGCCCTCTGCGGGGATTCCGACTCCTTCAGCTGTCTTCACGACAGAAACATGGCAGCTGTGGGAGTGGGGGGAGGTTCACACGCTCCCTCTAACCAAGGTCACAACACCCAGTACTGAGCTCTCTGTCTAGTTTGGCTATTGTCTCAAGCCCTCAGCTACTCGGGGAGAAAAGCCCGGGAAGGGGACCAGTGGGAAGGAGGCTCCACGCAGGATCGTCCCGCACGCGCTCCGGCCAAGCTTAGCTCTGCGCTCTTTCAGAGTCTGCGAAGCCCAACGCACCCGGGGGAAGTGAGTGTCGCCTGAGTCCAGACACCGCGACGCACTTCGGTGGAAACCACAGAAGCTTGTTTATATGAGACTAGAGGGAGCATGGGAGAGTAACACAAAGAGCCTTTAAAAGAGACTTAGGGTCTGTGAAAAGAGCAGCCAGGGTAGCCGGGAGACCCCCAGGTAGTCAAGAAGCTGCGCTCTGCTGCTGGATGTCACCCTATCAGGGGGGAGCTCGACGGCAATGGACAGAGTAAGTTCCTGGACCGCTAGGGACCCCAGAGCTGTCGGATAGGGAAAATTCTTGGTGTTTGGCAACACCTGACATACTTGGGGACCTCAGAGGTTCCCTCGAATGGCCAGCCACTTCCCCCAGGACTCCCTAGGCACACCCCTTGCACAGCGATGGGCTACCATCAACCCGCCCCTAGGTCAGGCAGCTCACACCTGAGCAAGTCCCTGCGCGCACCCTCTTGGGGTGTTCGGGTTTCGGGAGAGGGTGAGATCTGCAAAAGGCTGAGGTGATGGGACTTGTGGGGAGCCACCGAGAACCTCTGGGTGGGAGCCAAGCGTCCAGATCGCGCCCTTACTCACCTCGCTCACTGCTCTGGATGTAGTGCACGATGTCGTCCAGGTCCAACTCTTTGGTCTCGTCGAAATTGTAGGCAGAAGTGTGCAAACCCTCCTCCTGAAAAACCTCGTGGACCCCCTCGAGGGTGAAGTAGCAATTTCTCTCGAGTTTGTCGTCGCTGTAGACCAGGGCAGCGCGGCTCCAGTGGTGGTGGCGGAACAGGGCGAGCATCATCTCGCCCATCTTGGCGTAGGCAGGAGCTACGCGTGTGAGGTGAGAGTATTCCGTGTCCTTGTGCTGGAAGCCGGCGGCCAGCGCTCCTGCAGACAGCATCGGCAGGTCCCAGTGCGACGCCAGCCGGGCCACCGGCGCTGCGGCGTA